AAAATGAAATATCCTGGGAAATATTGAAAAGGCAGAATATTATATTTCCCTGGATCAGAAATGGAGGAACATGTTGTTAGGTAGAATAGACTCACTCTTAATAGCCCCCACCTTTGCCAATGGGTCACCAAAAATGCCTGAGCCAGTCTATTCTACATAACAAAGATACCCCTTCAGCTCCAAGGTGATGGGATTAAGGCATGATAGTATTAGCCCTTCACCCATCTCACCACAGGGCACCTGGGAAGAAGCAATGCTCAACCAAACATGGACTCACAGCCTCCGGAATTGCCCTTGCATGGCCCCCATGGGGGTCTGACAATCAATCAGAATACAAGCTCAAGATCAAAGGCCAGAGAGGGCATAAAATGGGGACTTTCAGCATCTTGCTTTCTTTTTCTTCTTCACCCAACATCTTGAAACATGTGGTCACCTCCTTCTCAGGAGCTCAAGTCATGTGATCCTGTCCACCATTAAACCATCTTTCCAAGCAGCCTCCATGTTTCCAGTGTCTTTTGCCCCACTTGGAACTGCACCTAGAAGGACTTCTTCCAACACCTCATTAACTAGTGCCGTACAATGAAGGTATCAGTTTGTTGCAGAAAAATCAAATCCAGAAAGCACACGCAGATAACTGATTCAGCTGGATTCATTAACTTCTTTTTATACCATATTTTTGGAGTATAAGACGCACCTTTTTCCTCAAAAAAGAGGCTGAAAATCTGGGTGCATCTTATACACTGAATACAGCATTTTTTGCCTCCTGAAACCCCGCCACCTTCACCAAAATGGCCATGCATAGCTTTTAGGAGGCTTTCAGAGTGCTCCTGAGGGCTGGGAAGGACAGAAATGAGCAAAAAATGGGCCTTTTTTTTTGCTCATTTTTGCCCACCCCAACCCCCAGGAGCACTCTACAAGCCTCCTAAAGGCTATTCATGCCCCTTTTTTTTTAAAGGGCCCATTTTTGTGAAAAACTGGTTGTTTTGGGGAGGTTTTCAGAGTGCAACCCCCTCCCCCCCTTTTTAAATTTGTCTCTTTAAAACCTTGGTGCATTCTATACTCCAAAAAATACGGTACATATTAACACATGACGATAAATGTACAATACCAAAATAGGTTTTCTCCAATGTAGTAGTAGTTACAAGTAAACATCGGCACAGGACAGTTAGTTTCATTTCAGAGTTCAGAGCAGACAAGCCCAGGCTAGTTTCAGTTTCCTTTTGCACAGTGCACAGAGCTGCAGTTAAGCCATGCCCTGGCTCCAAAACTCTTTCCGTTTCCAAATAGCCCTCATTGGCTGCCCTTGTTGCTAAGCCCTATTCATTGGTTGACCTTGTTACCATGTCTCTGCCAGTCATGAATATTCTGACAGAAGGGAAGTGAAATAGGCAACAGATAAAGGCAGCCAGAATGTCTAGTTCATAAAAGATATGTTTCTCATTATGGATGCTTAAAAACAGAAGCCAAATATTAACATAGGTGCACAGGAGTCCTACAGCTCCTACTACAAATAAAAGACATGGGATGTTAAGGAGAGTCAGTTAATTTATGGCTACGGAAAGTATCTTTTTTTTCCTATTATTATTACCTGAGAGAATGGAGAATCATTTAAAAAACAAAGAACACGGGATGGAAAGAAGAAAAGAAAACCACTATAACCCAGTTTTGAGATTGACTTGTTTTCATGTTTCTTTCGTGATTTGTGAGGTAGACGTTCGAGAACTCTCCTTTTGTGCTCCCCTGTCTTCTGTTGGGTGCCTGCCTATCCCCTTCCTTTGGCCACCTAATAGTTTCACATCCCTCTCTCCCCATTCCTGCTTAGTTATTCTTATGCAGTGATATTAAGGATACTTTCAGATTGTCATACAGAACAAAATCTTTCCCACTTCTACTAAAGTTGCACTACAGTTTATAGCTCAAAATATTACACACGTGCATAAAAAAAGAAGAGCCAGTTTGGCGAAATGGTTAAGGTATAAGGTTAGAAAGTGGGAGACTGTGAGTTCTAGCCCCACCTTAGATATGAAGCCTATGGAGAATGAATGAATGAATGAATGAATAAATTGAATTGAACGAATGCATGAACGAACAGACGAATGAAGGAACATCAAGACATCCAAATACCGAAGACTGGAATATGACTGATACAATCTGTTTACCTCTCCTTCTGTTAAAAGCCTATCATAGTGATGGCGAACCTTTTCGGCACTGACTGCCAAAAAAGGGAGCACTTTGTATGCACGTGCTTTGCACTCACATGCTTTGCGCACACACGCACGCTCACCTGGGCCGCAACCAGGAAAAGGAGTTGCCCAGGGAGCATGCGCACACCATGCACTGACAAGCAAGTCTTCCGGTTACTGCCATGCATGTGCACATGCTGATCAGCTGCCTGGCGTGCATGCTCATGCCGGAAAACGGAAGACGAGCTCTTCCAGTTTCTGGCATTGCCGCATGCAGAAAGGCCAGCTGATCATCGTGTGCGCATGCACACCGGAAACTCAGAAGATGACCAGGCGATGCCGCACATGACAGGTGACATGGCTCTGTGTGTCACTTCGGGCACGTGTGCCATAAGTTCGCCATCAAGGGCCTATCATGTTTTACCATTCCTACCATTAGGAAGACTTTCTCCAACTACCCTTTCACACCACACACTGAAAGTATATGGTTTATAGCAATAGCAATAGCAGTTAGACTTATATACCGCTTCATAGGGCTTTCAGCCCTCTCTAAGCGGTTTACAGAGTCAGCAT